TCCTCTGCCTGTGAGCCCAGGAACACAGCAAGTGTCCACGCCGTGGCCCATGCCTTGTCACATCCCAGATGGGAAAAGCAAACAGATGGTTGAGTTCTGCCTGGAAGCAGCGGTGAGGAGGCTGAGGCAGTCTGCTGGACTCAGCCCCAGTGCTTTCAAATCCAGCCCCTCAGAAAGCCCCTTGCAGCTAGCTGGCTCCCCACAGAGAGGGTGGGACCACTGTGCCTCCGCAGCCTGAGCTCCCGCTGCTTGAACTTCTCGGTCTACGCCCAGCTCTGCCTCTCTCCACGTGTCTTTCCAGTCACTGTGGCAGGGAGGCCCCGGAGTCCCTGCGTGTGGCTGTTCTGCCTCCTCTGATTCCCAGAGCAGCCTGTCGAGTGGATCTCAATACTGTCTGCCTAGACACGGCAGCCAGCCGCTGTGGTGGATCCCCGCCCCTGCCAGCTGGCCACACGGAGGGAGTCATCCTCACAGAGAAACCCACGTTGTGTTTGCAGCCTGTGTTTCCTCACCGTGGGCCTCTCCTGGCTGAGCTCCAGGCCGCTGTTTCTCCCAGGCGGTGGGGCTGGCTCTGGCCGTGTGCTCGCCAGGTCCTCGTGTCCGCAGCTGCAGTCAGCGCCCCAGAAGGTGTTGCTCCTTCTCTGCACTGTCTTCCACATCACAGTCCCCACCTCTCTTGCCTGCTCTTTCTTGATTCCGGAGCCCCCTCTGCTTCTACCTCTAAGCAGTGGTTCTCCGGGTGTCTCATTCCCAGGCCCAAGAGGCTGTGATCTGCTGCCAGCTCCAGTCTGCCTCACTGAAGCTACCTTTCCTGGCTCTCGTGAGGGGCTTTCACTGTACTGAGGGCCCCCTAACACAGTAGGTCCCTGTTTCAAGATCCTTAGCTAATGACATGTGCAAAAATCCTCTTTCCAAAATAAGGTACACCTCTGGGTTCTGGGTGGACAGGGATTTAGGAGGACACCATCCGGTCGCTCGCTGTGCTATCTCTGGATAGAAAACAGATGGAAGAGGTCTGGTTCCACCTGGAAACAGGCGGGGGCCTGAGACCTTGCCCTCCTCACCTTCTGCCACCCGTAGCAGCCCCAAGGGTGAAGAACTGGAGGCTGCTGCCAGCCTTAGTTAACCATGTCCTGTGTCTTCCTTTCATTTGTGGTGGTGGGGCTTCCCTCCAGGATAGTGTCCTTTTGGCTACCATGGCAGGTGACCTTTGAGTGGCTTCTCTGTCCTCAGAGGCAGACACTGTAGGTGGACACTAGTAGGGTAGGTGGGCACTAGTAGGGAATTTGGACCCCTGCCTGGGCCTGGGAAGCCCCCATTGCAGCAGAGCCTAGCAGCAGGCACCAGTGTCAAGGAATGACCCTTCTCACTTGTCCTAGAAGGAGCAGAAGGTATCCAGAGCCAGGCTTCGCAGCCACAGACAGGTCATCATCAGGCAGGGTCACTCGAAAGCCCAAGTGCCATCCCATGGGGAGGGCCACCTGAGCCGCTTCTCCTTGCTCGTCCCCTGCGCGCAGAGACAGGAAGCTGTCCCTCTGTGCCTGGCCTTAGTGGAGCTGTGTTGCTCCTGGTACCCCACCTTGTACTGGGGTGCTGAGCGGTGAGGTGCCAAGGCCCGCGTGTTGCTTCTTCCTGGCCTTCCTAACACTAGAGGGCCAGAGAGAGACCTGGCTACTGTCACACAGCAGAGCAACAGGCATGGCCTATGGTTCCCACCTGCAGCACAGCACCTCAGAGGGCCTGGCACCAGGTGTGTGCTGTGCAGGGAAGCAGCGGCCTGCTGGGCGCGCAGCTCGGGAGCGGTCCCTGGGCTCCTGTGCCAGCTGGTAGGCCACCCTCTTCTTTCCGGCTCCCAAGTGG